TACATTTAGAAATTAGAATAAAAAAATGACTGTTACCAGATTATAAAAGCTAATTTGTAACTAGCAATGACCGTGTAGTGGCGGTTAAGAATATCCACTACCCCATATCTTCCCGTGGGTGTCGTAAAAGGCGACGGAGGGGAAACAAATCAGGAGATGGGCAGCAGCGTCTTCCTGATAACGAATAATAATAAAAAAACTGCGGTTGCCAACCCGTTTGCCAAGCGTGACAACTATAGCAAATATCCCCCCTATCAGGTAATCTATGGGGGAGGCCTATGTTCAGCAGTCTGTAACTAGCAATTGAAGTTAATATATTATTCATTGTGTTGATTTCAAAAACCAACAATTATAGTTGCTCCTCCTGACTGATTCTGACATAGCAAGGTATTTGAAAAACCTTACCCCCACACTTGGATTTTCTTCTGTAACGTGGGAGCAGTTCACAAACACCCGTTTTATACGTTGTAGAGCCATGCTGCAGTTATATTGGTAGTATAGTTGTTTTACGAATGGGTCGGCTCGACCGGGGAAGGACCACGCTCTCACAGAATACCAGCTTCAAATAGTTGCTTAACGCTGCTGTGTTTTGTATAGTGAGTGGTAGAGAACCGGAGACCCTTTTTACTGGAAACGAGGCATTCCATCTTAGTCCTCACGGATGACGCCGCATCTGCATTTTGATTCGTAATCGAGGATAGATGTAGATATCTATGGGCCACAGCAACCACTTACCATCATGGGGTGTGTACTCGTTTGTGACCCTATGGTATAAAAACACAACACAAGGTACAAGGATAATCATACATCCCCAGAAGAATTAAAATTATTTGGTAGGCCATACAAATTAATACCATGTTCCGTGCAAGATTCAAACCCGCGGCCATTATCGCCGCAACCCAATGCTAAGCCACTACGCCATGCAGCCGTCAAAATATCGACTACTATACCTATCAACATATCGATTATCATATCTGGTAGAGTCACGCTGCAGCTATATTATGTACTACAGCGCGACCGTAAACCACGCTCTCACAAAAACCTTTCTGCAGCGTATTTTGTATATTTAGTGTAGAGTACCGGAAACCCTTTTAATGGTCACCAAGGCATGGTCATAAGTCCTCAGAAATGAGAGCGCATCTGCATTTATGATAAATCTAATAAATTCTAATTTGGTGGACTGTATGCTCGATTGTCACCTCACTTACTTCTCCCCATAAACTTATGATATGTTCTAAACTTTGTTACTTCACGTAGTGATCATAATATATCCTTTGGTCACTTTTATAAAAAAAATTAAGAAAGTCAAATTAGTCAATTTTGGATACTTAATCATCATTTTGCAGAGTTTGGAATTTCTAACGTTGCCCCTACACGCCGAATTTGAATTATTATATCAAAAAAATCATATATTTCAAGAATGTGATATTGATATCACTTATTTTACAATTTTTAACTTCCCGCTAGGAAAATCAATGATTTTGAAAAAATCGGGATTTGAAAATCGAGTTCTCATCATACCTCGTGAGTGCGTGCATGCGTGCGCGGTGCGTGCGTGTGTGCGTGCTGTGTGTTGTGTGTGTGTGTGTGTGTGTGTGTGTGTGTGTGTGTGTGTGTGTGTGTGTGTGTGTGTGTGTGTGTGTGTGTGTGTGTGTTGTGTGTGTGTGTGTGTGTGTGTAAACATATAAACATCCAGTAACTTAGTGACGGAGTGTCCGATCGAAAATCAGTTTGCGGCCTCTGAATTACTTCGTCACCCTTGTTTTAATCAATTCTATAATCTAATCAGCTTCTTTACTCAAAAAATGACGTCGATTGCCGTTGAAATTAGTGGAGTGCAGGGATAGCATGTAAGGTCAACTGTATTTTTTCTAACTAAACATGCCCAAGTACCTCGTGGCTCTTTGGGATCTATATATTTACTCGAACACTACACATTGATTAAAACTACTTTTACGGATTTTATCGCGTTTATTTTATTATTATTTTTAATTCCCGACGTTTCGGGCGCTTTCCAGCACCCGTGGTCACGGGGGACTGAGATGACTGACGTCCCGATGTCGTTGTTAAACCCGGAGTACCTTCAGCTTTTTTAATTATTGTTTATAGTCCGATCTATGCAAAATGATCGACTGTGGTGTGGAGCGTGTGCCTGCTATACTACTATATGTCAGAGGTGTCACAGACAAGATTGGCTACATCTTGAAGCGAGCTTCCATTAGAACATTCTACAAGCCGCCGAAGAAGATTAGTCAGTTCCTACCATCAATCTAGTGTCATATTCATCTACAAGATGCAGGAGTGTACAAGCTTGATTGTGAATGTGGTCTCTTTTATATAGGACAAACAAAAAGTTCAATTAGAACCCGCGTAAAAGAACATATAGCTGATGTGAAGCATCAACGTTCCGGGAAGTCTGCAGTTTGCGATCATATCCTAGACAGCCCCAACCATTATATCAGATTAGATAGACCACAAATCCTCGCGAAAGAACACCGATTCCTACCAAGGATGATACGTGAGGCTATTGAAATTAAAAAACATCCTAATTTCAATAGAGAAGGAGGCTGGGTACTACCACCTGCTTGGGATCCTATAATCAATAAAATTAAAACTAAACCCAAGTATACCACTGCAAGACCTCACGACATAGTTAGTTCATTTTGCATAGATCGGACCATAAACAATAATTAGAAAAGCTGAAGAAGGTACTCCGGGTTTAACAATGACATCGGGACGTCAGTCATCTCAGTCCCCCGTGACTATGGGTGCTGGAAAGCACCCGAAACGTCGGGAATTAAAAATAATAGTAAAATAAACGCGATAAAATCCGTAGCAGTAGTTATCAATACCCTCTCAGGGATTACAGGCGTGACCGTGGACATATTTTCAGGAACGGTGTAAAGAAGAACGATATAGGTATGATTATTTATGGGAACAGCATTGCAAGTGCAACGGTGTTGGCTCTGCGCTGGCCGTTCCTGCTGCCCAGCACAGTGCCTACTGCCAAGTGCCAACCCTTTAAAATAGTATTTTATTCATTCACTTATCAATCAATGCAGCCTATCCAAAATACTGAACATATAGGCCTCCCCCAAGATTGCCTCATAAAGGTGATATCAGAAAGATGCCGTTGCTCACATCCTGTTTCACTTTACTCTGTCGCCTCTAACGACACCTACGAGTTGTTATAATAATACGGGTTATAAATAAAATAAATAATATATTGTAAATTAATTTTATTTAAAAAAGTCCCGTTGGGTTTCTTGCTGATTCTTCCCAGGACAGATGTTGTTTCCGAACCAGTGATAAAAGTAAAAAAAAAGACTCAATAAAATTATATGTAATACATATTGAATAAAAATTATTCTATGCTTTCCTAAAAGGAATTATGTCGAAGTGCAAATGTTACGCCACGGCGATGAAAAAAATTTATAAAATGTATTTAAAAAAATGGCCAAGACAATTGACAAGAAAGAGGAAATTTTACCCAATATGCTGTACACTATAAATTAATTCCATCTGACAACCCTACACGTGTTCCCAAATTGACTGCTGTAATTTGCGTAGCACTCTCCACTCCCTTCACTTGCTCTAATTTCCTTTGAAAAGCGACGACATTATTTTACATACCTACTATTTTAATAAAAAAGGAATATTTTTATGCAATATAGCTGCAGCATGTCTCTACAACGTATAATATTTTATATGTGGTAGAGCCCCACGCTGCAACTATATTGTGGTTGTAGCACGAATGGGTCGGCACGAACGGGGAATTACCACGCTCTCACAGAATACCAGAGTAAAATAGCAGGTTAATACTGCTAGTGCGTCAAGAGAACCGGAGATCCTTATTACTGTATACGAGGCATTCTATTTCAGTCCTCGCGAGTGACAACGCATCTGCATTTTGATTCTTAATCGAGGATAGATGTAGATGCCTATGGGCTACAGCAACCACTTACCATCAGATGGGCTGTGTGCTCGTTTGTTACCCTTATACTATAAAAAATTATATGTGTTAAAAATTGATCACTGTACTGGTCCGAAAATACTTTCGTCGTGGGAAGAATCAAAAAGAAACTTTTATAGGGTAAAATTTATTTACAATAACATATTATGTTGTTTAGATTATAATGACAATCGTTTTAGAAACAGGCGTCATCAACATCATCATTAAAACCCTTTACAAGTCTACTGCTGTACATAGGCCTGCCCCAAGGTTTGCCACAAAGCACGGTTCTAAGCCACCTGCATCCATCGAATTCTTGCATCTCTTACCAGGTCGTCACTCCATCTAGTGGGGGGGCGTCCTACACTTCATTTACCGGTAGGTATGGCTTCCACTCGAGAACCTTTCATCCTTATCGGTTGTCGGTTCTTCGAGTTATATTGCCGACTACATTAAAATTGTATCTATGTTACATTTTTTATAATTGTTATAGAACAAGGGTGACAAACGAGCCCACAGACCACGTGATGGTAAATGGATACTGCGGCCCACAGACATCTTCGAGTATATCTCGATTATGATGCAGATGCGTTATCACCCCTAAAAGCTAAAACTGAGTACATCGTTTCCAGTAAAAATAACGTGAATACGGTTTATTTCGATTTCGTGTGCTTGAAAGTTCACGGAGAGGCTGAGGTTGTTGAACCCTTAGCTTTTTTTTTTTTTTTTTTGATCTGATCTACACATTATTCAGCTTTCCTTTTAATATTTTTAAATAATTAACTATTCAGTATTATATATAAATAGAAATATCTACAAAATTTTAAGTACCAAGCCGGAATAGCCAGTGAAAGTTATCTGAATTTAAACTATATGTCTGAATATTTAGATATATAACGTTTTCATAACAAACACACTCATCCAAAAGTATCATCCATAGTGACTCAACAAACAATTTCTTTGTTACAGATCTAAGTATATAATAAACAAGCATCGGCTTTGAGTTCATTCGCCGCGAAATCAAGCTCGTGTGTTTCTCGTTTCGAAAATGTCGTGGAATTATTATCCGAAGAATTTTAAAGCAAATGGTTGGGGCTGGCATCGAACCGCTAACGCCACAACTGGTTTTTTATCGAGGGAAAGAGGTGGCGAGGGCAGCTCTGAACCGCTGATAGGGAATGGGAGTCTTTACCCAAGCTTACCCTCGGAAGATGATACGATATTTCGTACTGGGTGCAGACTGTACCCGGCGCTTCCTGCCGAGGAGTACGAAAGTGGTGCTGTTGAGGAGGTGGTGGAAGAAGCCTGTGCATCTGTTAACGTGAATTTGGTGGTAAGTTTATTAATATTATTTAAAGTAAAAAGAAAATTGTAATTTAACTTATACGTTTTCTTCGATTACTTGTATCTGTACTATATTTATCAATACGGAAAACTGAACGACAGATGTGGTTTACTGCCAGAAATTTAATGAAGCGATGTTTCCGAGACATCGACGTCATGATTTTAACTGTTCCCTTTGATAGTGTCGAGCGATTTTACTGTTTACAACAGTATAAAATGTTTATATTTGCTGACGTTTGCTATGAAAAAAGTACATAGATAATAAAAAGTTTAAAAAATATTTCGAAAAAATGTTTCGCTAGATGACTTGCTGATTCTTTCCAGGACAGAGTTTTTTCCGAACCAGTGGTAAAAGTAAAAAAATACTTTTAGTAAAAATGGCGTATAATCTATTGGATTATATTCTACGATAGTGCGCTTACATTCACAAAATCACATTTTATATTACTCTTTATTTATGCTGTGTCGTAATATTATACTTAATTTTATAAAATCTAATGCGATTATGACACACAGTATTGGGTGATATGTGAAGTGACAACCTGATGAAATATACAGAGGGGAATCAAGAACAGAATCCCATCAAAGAGCACTTACACTGGAATTCATAGACAAGATAGGGTCTCCCATATGGAACAATTCAGGCACTATGTATCGAATTTAAACTACATATAACCATTTCATAGACAAAGGAAACCCCAATTTGACAGATGTCTGGGGGTGATTGCTCATGATGGTTGTCGATTCGTCAACCAAACAATCCCCTAGCTCAGGACTTCCCAAAGTGTGCGCCCTGGTGCGCCACGCCGTCACATGAGTAAAGATATACTCTGTGACGCCGTAGAGAGTAAAGAGGGACCCCATTATACACTCCTTTTTAGTGGTCTCCGGTAACTAAACTTATTTATGTATTCACGGGTAAAATATAAACCGCATTTTCGGCTGTAGCTATAATAAAGAACAAATATCGCTCTAAAATCAATTTGGAGCAAGAAATGAGAGTAGCAGTGTCAAGCCTTTTCTATATAAAGACTTCTTGAGTCATATTAACTAAGTTGTCTTTGTATTTTATTTTCCTATATCATTGTGCCCTATTTCGACTTGCCTCGGCGCTGAGAACTGAAAGTTACCCCTTCGCTAGCTTATAATTTCATAGCTATGGTGGGTAGACCCTCTATATTCATAACATGAAACGTACATTGGAATAATTTTGAGAAAAAACTTCAAAAAAGTTAATTAGCTTCAAAATTGCTAGTCTAATTCTTCTGTAATAAATTTTACTTTTGTTTCCGGAAATGATTCGCACAGAATCATTAATTTTAACAAAGTTGTAATACTCATATTAAATATACTATGTAGGTACTATGTATTTGCTTTCTGTCATACAAAGTACTATACAATATTACCGAAAATAACCAGCGAAATCTTTAGAATTGAAATTTTAACTTTGCTTTTATTTGTTTTTAATTTTTATTTAATGTTGAAGTGTTCACCTAGGAACAATTTTCATGGACGACGACGACGCATGTAATTGTACCGAGTAGTGGCAGTGTAAGAATATCTACTACCCCATATCAAATCGGGAGATTCAAAGCAGCATCGTTCTAATAACGACTAAAAATAAATTGCCAACCCGCTTGCCAAGCTTGGCAACTATGGCAAACATCCCTCCGATGAGGCAATCTATGGGGGAGGACTATTTTTTTATTATGTGCGAGCAGCTATGTAGGTCTAGGGAAGGAGACAAGTATCACTGCGACCTAAAAGATGTATTGTGATCGCCGCTATGGGTATAGTTCACTGCTAAGCCCTATGTCTTCAATGAATAGAAGGAGTTGCTTAGCCATGAGCAATTTCACTTCTTCTGTGCGGAGTAGATAGTTTCCCAGATGAGTGTTACGTTTGCGCATTAAGGGTCCGCAATCAGTTAGGATGTGCAGAGGCGTTTCTTCCGTTATGGAACAGAACCGACACATCCTTGAGTTGCTTAGACCCAGGATGGACATGTGCTTTTTAAGACAACAGTGTCCAGTTAGGGCTCTTGCCAGAACTCTCAATTTATTTTTACTTAATCCCAGGGCTTCTGAAGCGAATTTACGATCAAAAGCCCGGATCAAGTTTTTAGAATGTCTTAAGCCTGGTGTGTCAGACCAGATTTTAAGTGATTTGTGCTGTGAGTTTAAGTGATTGGCGCCGACAGGGATCGAACCCGGGTTGCTCGCGTAATGTGACTTTACAGCGAGCGCTAACCGTCTGAACTAGGACCGTGCTTTGAAGAAATCGAAAAAGAATTAGCAGTGCACTTGTAACAGGCTGGTCTGATGATAATAATGACTACGATAAAAACAAACAATTTAAATAATGTACATTAACTCTTCACACAAACTATTTAATTTAAATTAAGTATTCATGTCATCTGGTTTTCAGTAGCTGCAGTCCTAAGGTGCACCTTAAAGATAACTTAATTTTTTTTATTCTACTCGATTATTATCTCGATATTCTACTTGTCTTAAAATCAGTAATTTCTTGAATAGCATTGGATTCTTCAAGTCATTCTTATACGTGGTGAAACCATTCTGCAATTATATTAGTAGTATAGTTGTAGCACGAATGGGTCGGCTCGACCGGGGAATGACCACGCTCTCGCAGAATAACAGCGTAAAATAGCAGCATAATGGTGATGTGTTACGTATGGTACGTGTAGAGAACCGGGTACCCTTTTAATATATATTTTGATTCTTAATTGAGGATGGGTATATTTAGGTGTCCATGGGCCACAGCATCCACTTATATGGGCATCCACTTACCTTTAAATATTTTGTGTGCTCGTTTGTGAAACTTATTCAACAAACAAGATAGCAAATAAAGTTTGCTCTGTATGACAATTGATATATTTCGTAAAATATCAAGGCGCCTCCTTCATTATTTCCCCACGCCATGTGCCACTTTTGAATACCTGAATAACCTTTAAATATATTAAATAATACAAACACCGTTTCTATGTATTAAAAAAATTAAAGAGACTCTTTAGCCGGTCTGTTTAACCGGATTTTATTCAAATCAAAAAAGCTACTAATGTGTCTTGTTAAAAAAATATTACGTTATATAAGAGATGATTTTCCGATGTAAACGGCATAGCTCTAATTTTGATTAAACCTGCTATGTTATGAGAAACAAAATTATTATAGAAAAAAAAATGTTGCCTTTTCAGACCAACAAACAAAGTTAGACGGAGTGTTGAGTACATTTATTTTCAAATGACGATACGAGTAAAAACATGCTCAACCTGTTGAAACGCACTCTTTATTCGACCCGTCAAAGTCCACTGACGCAGAGTGCCTCCATTAGTGGACTTTTTGACCTTCCCTCGTATGCACCTAAAACCATTTTGGTTGAAAATTATTTTATATACATACTATGTGCGTGTAACACAATAAGCTGAGCATGGTATTGGCTTTAGTTTTGACATCAGCTGAAATGTACGCAAGATTCCGTCTGTTTTTTTTTTTGTTGATCTGAGGCTGCCCTGTTACGGCGGCATAATAGAGTCATAACAGATTCACCACCCCATTTTGTCCCATGAGCTTCGTCAGAGGCGACTAGGCGGCTTCCGATGGATGGCGGTATAACTATCTCGTTTACGCCAGACGTAAAGTACCCAGACCGGTGACGGGCGGCAACATCAAAGACGTCTGCTACTGCGATCCTTAACCCGCCTGCCAAGCATAACGATTTAGGCAAATCATTTCTACAATGGTAGAGTCAGAGGCTCGTACATATCAGTTGACTTTTGAGGGCTGTTAAAGAAAAAAAGTTATACCTATTCAGACAGACTGTTTTTTATAGAATAAGGGTGAGAAATGAGCACATAGTCCACCTGATAATAAGTGGATGCAGTGGCCCACAGACATCGATGTTAAATACCTCGATTAAGAATCAAAATGCAGATACGTTGTCACCCGTGAGGACTAAGATGGAATTCCTCGATTCCAATAAAACGGGTCTCTGGTTCTCAACTTTCACCAAACACAGCACTGCCTCATGGGTCAGCGTAAAATAGTAGCTTTCTACTATTTTACGCTGACCCATTCGTACTACAACTATACTACTAATATAACTGCAGCATGGCTCTACCCCGTATAAAAGTTACTAAAACATGAATAAAATCTCGATGATGGCACCCCTTCTGTCCTGAGCTTAGTGTAATTATAATGTAAGGTCTTCCCTCCAAGGGGAGAGGTCCATCTCCAGTATTAAACTTTTGAGAGCTGTTCAAAAAGTAAAAAAATGGTTTCCAACCTAGATGGGCTAAATAAAGAATAATCCCTACTATCTAGTAACTGCATCAAACAGTCGATGATGACGCAATCTATTGAGTGTAATGGTATACTCACGTTTGCATTGCTAATTGTATGCAATGATGCACATTAGAATTACGTATCATTAAAACTAAGCCCAGTCAATGATTACTTATGATATCGCCGAGCAATTCAGGTGACTCATCACAGAACTTCCAGTCAACGAAACTGACTGACTCACTGTGACGTGGAATATCTTTTTTGGTATAATACGGAAGAAAACGTTTCTAGATGTAGAGGGAGTCAGCGTAGTGAGATACGTCACAAAACTTGAGAAATAATTGAGGAAATAATCAAGAATATACATATAATAATCAATAATAATAATAATATAGGATAAAAAAATTTATATTCAAAATTGTAATACTAATTTAAAACAATATAAAATTGAGAGTATGTTAACGTAAATTACGATACTGAAATACATATAGATTGTTATTGTGTTTAACTGCCTCATTGGTGTAGTGGTCATAAGCGCAACTGCTGACCGTGTAGTCCTGGGTTGGAATCCCGAGTCGGTCTAAAAATCGGTTATTGGGTTATCTGTCAAGAAATACAGACGCATTAGGAGCTTATAGTCAGAAATTTAGCGGTGTTTCAGCCTGGTGCGTCGAAAAATACGTAAAATGTTAGCCCGGCGTCTGATTTTTCTCCGGTCGTGTCGGATTTTATT